CGTGTCAAGGACCCTGGGGGTGCTACCTCTGGAGGGGTTGGAGTTGAAGCTGAAAGTGTGCCTCGACAAGGTTTTGGTGCCGGGGGTGCTGGCGTTGGAGCTGAGCCCAAGCTTGTAGAAGGTTCTAGTCTTCAGAGAGCTGGTGTTAGTCGCGCTGTCCCTGTGGGTACTACGTCTGGGGGCGCGCCTTCTTCTGACCTGGAGAGCCTGGGACGGACCCTATTAAACTTGATGTTGTAGTGCGACTGGTTCTTTGGAGGGCAGTCCTGGGGCTACCACCGCTACGGAAACTACTCCCCCCCCTACCCCTACCCGACCCGGCACCAGGCTCGTGTTCGTCGTGCCCATGAGGAGCAGATGGAGTTGGAGCGGCAGCAGCTGGAGCTACGGCGGCTGGAGGAGCAGCAGCAGCAGCAGTAGTAGCAGCAGTCGGAGCAAGAGCAGCCACAGCAGCAGCCGCATCAGCAGCCACCGCAACTGGAGGAGCGGTGGTCGCAGCCGCAGCAGGAGTAGCAGCAGCAGCCGCCTCCTCATCCTGTCTCTGGTCTTCGGACCCTCGGTCTCCTCCCCCCCCCCCCTCTCCTCCCGTCTCTGGTACTCCGCTTCCTCCTCCTGACCCCTCCCCGACTGTTTTCCCTCCTTCTCTGCCTTCGTTATCCCCTCCTCTTTCTCACGCTTGGCCTTCGCGTCGCTCTCCTCGTTCTCGTCCCTCGTCCCCTGTTGCCTTCACTGACCTTCATACTGCCCTGTTTCGTTCTAGTCCGCCTCGTTCGTCTCCTTCTGTACTTCCTTCTCCACTTGAGTCGGCTCTCAATGCTTCCCTCCTACTCCTGTCACCGACTATTACCGCACGTACCGTCTTGTTCTCTCTCGTGTTCTCACCTCTCTTGTTACCGACCCACATGCTTCTCTAACCTCTATCTCCGCTCTTACTGCCGATGTCACTGTGCTTGCCTCTACTCATCACTTTGACTACGCCACTAGTCTTGTGGCTGCTCCTCCTACCAGTCCTCTGGCCGTCAGGGGTGAGTCCGCCCTTGGCTGTGACGCCCTAGAGGACATGCAATTTGAGCTAGAGTTCCTGGCAGCCGCTTCCCCTCATCTATGTGCCATGCTGCTTGCCCCTGAGGGAGACCCCGGCGCCCTTGATATACCAACTCATCGCACTTACGCTGAGGCAGTGTCAGGGCCTTGGGCCTCTTAGTAGAGAGCTGCCATGGACTCATATATGGCCTCCTACGGCGTGCCTTCTTCTGGCCTGGAGAGCCTTCTACTACCTTTGCCTGCAGATTACCAGGGACAGAGCCGCTCGCAACATTACACTCTTACAGTCACACATGGTGCAGCAGGCCCTTCAGCGGTTCGAGCTTCAGCACTGTATAGTACAGCGCACACCTCTTGCTGTTGATTCTCCTTTGTCGAGAGCCGCGACTCGAGAGCAGAGTGAAGCACATCACCGTCAGGTACTTTTTTCTGCGAGAGTTGCAGAGGCGTAGGCAGGCTCTCTTCGACTTTGTGGAGTCCGAGGCCAACACCGCAGACATATTCACCATTGCACTTCCGCCTTGTAACCACTACAGGTGTTTTGTACAACTAGGTCTCATAGACACAGGTTCTCGCCTTACGTAGTCTTGAGTTCTCTGCTTGCTTTGTTTGTACACTTTATATATACCTCTGTGAACTCTTGGACTGGCCTTGTGGCTCTTTTGGTTGTGCTCAGAGTATGTCTCTTATGGGGTACATTAGTTATAGTCATGTACCCCAACCAACCTTAGTCAACACATCCTTCTGTTCTTGACAATGGGGGTTGGGTTGGGGTGATTGTGCCCTATAGTGTTTCACTTGGTGTGTTGTTATTTTTGTGTGCGCATGCGTTTTGAAATGTAGGAGTTTTTTTCTGTAGATTCCACCCGAAGTTAATTATTAAGAAAGCTTAGTTATTTTCTTACAATTGCAGAATATCAAGGAGACATATGAACGCAAAGTGTGATTCTCCATAACCTGAGAGTGTAGACAAGTGCTGTTTAAAGTGTAGGCGTATGTGTATAATCATTCCATTTGTGTAAAAATCCTTGGACTATTATCCTATCGTAAAGCATAGAACTGCACGTATTTAGGTGGAGGTATTCTACTATCGAGCCTCTGCACAGCGGGCACATCAGTGAGCGATTTCCCCAAGGTTGAATTGGACAACCACGAACAACACGTCCAGCATGGCTGCACTGCCCATCCCAGCGGTGCTACTGAGGAGGTTGATGCGAACTAGGGGCGTACTGTCGCCAATTGTCGTAGAGAGTTACTGTTCTATTGCACCCTCCCTTGGTGCCAGCGATGCCTGACATTGAATGAAACCCCAAGACTGGCTCCCAGTCACTATTCTAGTGCTCTTTATTTGCAGTAGGCGTTCGCGTGTCTGTTCGTTGTCTCCACGCTCCCGTTTGAGCTGCCAGTTTTGCTACCCTTCGTCGAATAATCGGGCCATGGCGAAGCTTTTCACGGCTCTCTGCGTGATTGCTGTTGCTTCCGCACTTTTAGTGTTGGGATGCCACGCTCGGCCGCTTTCGTCGTCCTGTGCGTACATCGACCTAGTCCTTTTGCTGCCTTCCGCTATTTATTTTGTGCATGTTTCAGCACCCGCAGCACGTACCTCTAAACGTGCTTCTATTTTCCTGACGACGCTGTTTCTTCCACCGTTTCCCGTTCCCATCAGCTGATGTGACTGAATCGGGTGGTCCTCTGGACCAGCTGTGTCCGGCGTGCATGTCGGCGGTGCTTCAGGCGCACATGGTTCTGTCGGCTCCTGACACCGCGGCGGACCTCATCGACGTCGTCGAAACGTACGCGTGCTCGCAGCTCGACACGGAGAAGGAAGCCAAGGTGAGCCACGCGTTTTCTGCGACGCTGGAGTTACCAATATTTTTCTGGGACGCGTCAAAACTCGCGTTCGCAGCTCGACACGGAGAAGGAAGCCAAGGTAAGTCGACTAGCCTTTCTCCGACGCGTGGATTTTAGAAATTAGCTGAAAAGATGAGCGGGCATTTTTTTTTGTTTTTTGTTTTTTTGCACAGGAATAATTTAGAGAGTGGGATCAATACTTGGTAGGCTTGTCCTGGAAATCAAAGGTAGACACGTCGTGCTTTACAACGCATGCGTCCAAGGGATTGTGTTTCCCACTTCGTCTGATTCCGCCTCATTTGACGTTCCTTAGCCTTGTTCGGTTCCCTGGATTAGTCATCCCATGCATCTCTTTTCATACTCGTTTTTTTTCTTCTTGCCCTTTCTCAGTGCGACGCGCTCGTGGAGCAATACGTGCCGCTGGTCATTGCTGAGATGGATAACGAAATCACCGTCGACAAAGTCTGTGTGCGGTTCCATATCTGCCCACCGAGTCCTGATGAGCCAAATTCAGCCGTCGATCTGACCCCAGCAACTCCAAAAGACATCCTGGCGTACACCATCCAGGAGGCGCTTCTGGGGGAGGCTGTATCTGACCCCGATGACGTGGCAGGTGCAGCGGATGTTGTTGGCGAGGTGGCTGCTGTGGATGATCAGAATGTGCTGCAAAACCGGGAGGACTGTCTGGCGTGTCTCATGATGGTGCGGGTGATCAGGAAGAGGCTGTCAGACCCCAAGATGCAGGTGATTTGCCTGAAAGCATAAGAGCGTTGGGTGGGCAGGGGGAAGGACTGAGATGGGTGGGGTGCAGTATGGGGAAGAGTTAGGAAGGAGCAATGACCACTGTGTGTGTGTGCATGTGTGTGCTTGGTTGAAATTTGACTTTTGAGCTCTGTCTTGACTCTGTCCCCTCATCCTCACCAGGCACACATCATGGACTTCGTTATTGGAAGGTGCAACAAGCTGGCCAATGAGAGTCTCACAGCTGAGGTAAGTCCATACTCAGTCCAGCACATCTTGTCAGCTACCTTACTTTCGCTCTCCAGCCCATTGGTCCTGGTTCATCAATTGTTATCAACTTGTACGTCCTCCTGCCTCACTGTGTTTCCCACAGTGCATCAGCGCAGCCCAGGACATCCTGCCGGTTATTTTGGAGGAGCTGCCCAAGGTGCTGGACCCCAAGAAGGTTTGCAAGAAGTCTGGCCTGTGTTCCTCGCTTGCCCTGGTTGAGGGTATGGTGGTTGCTGGACACATTGATGAGGACGCCAAGCTTCCGCTGCTGCTTCAGCTGCCTTCAGAAATGAACTAGTGCAGAGCGGATGTCATTTTGTCAAGACGGATCATGTATAGGTGGTAAAGAGTTGCTTGCCAGGGCAAATTGGTTGATCCAACTTAACTGGGTACCGACAGCTGAAGCTGAGTTAGACCAGCCTCAGTTCTGAATGTACAGTCAGTAATCTGAGTGCTTTAGGAATTGGATACCTTAGTTTTTTTGTAACTGTTTAATGGCAGCTTTCCCTCCTGGGTTTTTGCAGGAATAGCGTATGTAAGTTCCTGCATTTCCCATGCCACTTGAATTTCCACGTCTCATTTTTGCCGATATACTGGTAGGCTAAGCTAATCGTCACTGGTTCGTGTATCGATATTCTCACTTCGGGTATCTGGGTCCCGCCAATTTTTCTGCGTTCAAACTTTCAAATTGACGCCTCGGCTGAATATTTTTGAGCGTGTGACCACAAATGTTTTCATCCAACCGAAACTCAAGAGCAACACCCCTTTCTCGGATCTGCTCTGCAGATCGTGCCCGGCAAATATCTGGCTTCATACTGGAGTCGAATGCTGTACGGGCTGGGCATCACAAAAAGGATGGAGTGGAGACAGAATCGAGGAACAAAAACAAAACCCAAGTCTCCTCGTCAGCTCCAAGCTGCTGTGTGACCTTTGGGATGATCACCTGACTCTCTTCCGATTCTGTCTGGCACCTGTTCACCTTCTGACCACCGTAGTCTGTCTGGTCTCCAGCCATTATTCAGTCCTGAACCCGGGTTAAGTCGACGCGTACGCTTACCGTTTCGATTAGCATTTACAAGTGTTGTGCTGTCGAAATGGTGGGAAAACGGAGTTCAGCAGCCACGACGGCGGCGTCACCTGCTCGGCAGGTGAGACGATGAAGCTGGCAGTTGGGTCACGAAAGCTTGGATGTGCACTTGCAAATGTAGATGAATGCACAAATTAGAAATGTTTTCCGAGGTCACCAATAGTTGCTGTTTGTTCAGGCAGAGTTTGCAGAAAACAAGGAATGTAGTACCATGCGGCCCTTGGAAGTGTTTTCTCTGATGCTATGCTGACAGGTATATCGCTCTTCAAATGCACTATAACAATCATCGTCAGTGGACAGTAGCTAAAGCTGGTCAAGCGGAGGTCGTCGGGAGGGATACAAAACGCGTGTGATTAGTATACTTTTTGAGTCGACTCAAAGAGATGTCTGTGGACAGTGACTAACGCTGCTCAGGTGGAGGTCGTCGGAGTTGAGGGATACGTAAGGGAAATACAGCCTCTATGGCTGCACGAAGCGTTCTTTACAATGACTCTGTACGGCTTCACGAACTGCTGCATAATGCGTCGCGACTCGCACGCAATCGGATCTAGCGACTACTGGATTGATGTAGTCCCGACTTAGACTGCATCGCGGTTTGATACATTCCTGAAAGAAAAGGAACCTTATTTTGTAGTCTTAAGAATTCCCTTGCGATATGTGTCCTGACTCATGAATCCCCACAGAGGCCTCCAAGGCGTTCCGCACCTCGTGCTCCTCCAAACGGAGCTGCTTCCTCCTCTCCTGCCTCCGCTTCTGCGCGTTCCCCTGCTTCTTCGTCAAAGAGAAAGCCGAGGAGAAGGGTCGACAAGGACGAAGAGGCCCGGATGGAAGCTAACAAGAAGGCTTCAAATCTGAGGAAAACGGCGGACGAGGAGGTGGACGAGGTGGAGGAGGTGGATGGGGCGGACGAAGAGGAGGTGGCGGTGGTGAAAGGGAAGAGGAAGGCAAAAGCGAAGGAAGTGGAGGAGGAAGAGGAGCAGGAGGAGCAGGAGAGTGAGGATGCGTCCGTGGACGAGAAGGACGTGATTCCGAAGCGGGAGGCGAACGCACGGTGGCCAAAGCGGTGCAAGGAGGTGAAGGGAGTCAAGCACTACTCGGCAGTCACCATGGACGGTCACCTGTACAAGCTCGGCGACGATGTTACTGTGCAGGTGCGTGTGGCAGAGTCGAGCTTTGGCAACCACCTCTCAGTTTTTATTCACTGCATACCAGCAAACTTTCTCAGCGGGTATTCAGGTTCTTCTGACCTCTGAGCTTCTCCTAATCCGTCTTTGAGAGCCGCCTGACATCCGATCTTGACTCCCCACTAGAAAAGAAAATATATTTCTTATCCAACCCGAGTGTCTTATTTGAGGGTAGGGCGAGCCCAAGCGTTGATACGGTACAGGAAGTTATCAGGCCTGTCAAGGGATACATACATATATATACATATATATATATACTTAAATTAAGCCGACTCACAAGTGTATCTTTCCATTCTACCCGTGTGTTGTTGTGGTGACAGGGCGAGCCCAACGGTCATGACTTCATGGGTACGATCAAGGAGATATTCAAGCCCGCCAAGGGAGAAGTGTCATGCTTATTACGCTGGTACTTCCGGTACAGCGATACGGTGAGTGCTCTCATGCTGATTCTGCTGAGATGAGAGTGCGCTGACTGCCAATGCTTCTTTCAGCTCTCAAACATGTGGAACAAGTTGCTCCTAGTCCCTTCCTTCTCAACACGGCGGGTGCTCTGATGCCAAATCTGCTGCACCACCAGTGTGAACGCTCTGACTGCCAGCGCTCCTCATCAGACCTGTCCCACTCCCCTCCCCCTTCCCTTCCTCCTTCTCCCTCCTCTCGTCTCCCCTTCCCCTTCCTCGTTCTCTTCTCCCCCTCTCCCTCCCCTTCACGCTGCTCCGGCCTCCCCCCTACCAGGCCATGGGGGCGTTGGGGGACGGCATTGTGGATCCGCGCTTGTGCTTCTGGTCGCGGGAGACTGACGACAACCCTGCCAGCTGCATCACAGGGAGGGTCAGAGTCAAGCGAGTCAAACCTCCGGTACGATGAACCTAGACACGCCCTTACGGGGGGCGCTGGGAGCGGTATTGTGAGTCAGCACGTTTGTGTGCTTCTGGTACGATAAACCCGTGCATGTGCTCTCAATTATTTCCCCTTGAGCACCACATGTACCACCCATCATACCAGTAGACACAGACCACGTGTACCACCACATCTACTTCAGTAAGAGCCTATGGAGCCGTTGAATATACCAGCAGATGCGGACTACATGTATTACCACATGTACTCCTACGAATTTGCCTCCTTTGACTTCTCTTCCGAGCCCTCTCCCTCTACCTTGTGTTTCTGCGCCCACACATCAGTCGGGCCCCAAGGAGCCGCTGGACATACCAGGAGACGTGGACTTCGTGTACCACTACATGTACTCGTATGACTTCGCCTCCTTCTCCGACATTCCCAATGATGAGTGTACGTGTGACTCGCTCACGCCTTCAAGTTTTGAGACCTCTCAAAACTCGTACGACTTTGCCTCCTTCTCCGACATTCCCAGTGACGAATGTACATGTGACTCGCTTGTGGCATTCTGAAGGTCAAAGCGTCAATCACCTGTGGTGTATTCTGAAGGTCAAAGCGTCAATCACCTGTGGTGTATTCTGAAGGTCAAAGCGTCAATCACCTGTGGTGTATTCTGAAGGTCAAAGCGTCAATCACCTGTGGTGTATTCTGAAGGTCAAAGCGTCAATCACCTGTGGTGTATTCTGAAGGTCAAAGCGTCAATCACCTGTGGTGTATTCTGAAGGTCAAAGCGTCAATCACCTGTGGTGTATTCTGAAGGTCAAAGCGTCAATCACCTGTGGTGTTTTCTACAGGTCAAAGCGTCAATCACCTGTGGTGTACTCTGAAGGTCAAAGCGTCAATCACCTGTGGTGTATTCTGAAGGTCAAAGCGTCAATCACCTGTGGTGTTTTCTGACGGTCAAAGTGTGACCAACCTGTGGTTAGTTTTGTGAGTCAAACCGTCCACTTCCTGTAAGGCTGTGATTATGCTGGCAAGGGTGACTATGAGAAAGTACAAATCTGTGTCTTTATCGTGTGTTTGTGTGCGCTCCTTCCAACTCCCCACAGGCGAGCAAAAGCTGGACTGCCTCCCGGACCCGCCGGCCGTCCACCCACCTGGATCAAACGGGGTGAATGGAACGGAAGAGAGCGAGAAACACGAGGTGGCAAGGAAGGCCGAGTGCAATGGAATGCATGGGGGAGATGGAGGAGAGAAGGCCGTGCAGAGCAAGGAGGAGGAGGGGGCTACTGGGAAGGATGAGAGTGGCCTGGGAGATGAGTGTGTTGATGCAGAAGGGGGAGGAGGGAGAAGTGAAGGTGAAGCCAAGGTGGAAGAGGGGGGTGGAGGGGATGTTGGAGTGAGTGTGAAAACGGGGGAAGGGCAGGGCGAAGGCGAGGGTGAGGGCGGTAAGAAGCTAGGAGGAGGTGAGGTGGAGGGCAGAAAGGGACAAGGGGGAGGCGAAGGGGCGTGTGGTATAAAAAAGACTGCTGAAGGATCAGGGGGGATGAATGAGCTTGTGGAGCTGGAAGATAAGAAGGCAGATGGGAAGACAGAAGGCACAGCGGTGGAAGGTGTAAAGGTGGAGAGTGGTGGGGCAGTGGGGGGTGTGAGTGAGGTGGGAGTTGATAATCAGGAGCAGGGCGAGGAAGGAAAGGGGGAAAATGGGAAGGGAGAGAAAGGAAAAGGGGAAAGTGGAAAGGGAAACGAAGGGAAGGAGGTGGAAGGGAAGGCAGGTGTGAAGGTTGAAGATCCTGCAGTAGGCAGTATGAATGTGGAGAATGGGGGGCCATTGAATGATGCTGGTGAGACGGGAGATAATCAGAAAAAGCGCGAAAAATTGCAGGGAGAAAATGGGAAGGGAGAGGACGGAAAGAAAGAGGAAGGCCAAGAAGGTATGAAGGTGGAGAGTGGTGGGGCAGTTGAGGGTGCGGGTGGGGTGGGAGATCAGGAGAAGGACGAAGAAGGGAAGCAAGAAGAAGGCACAGGTGAGGAAGGAAAGGGACAGGAAGGAAAGGGAGAGGAAGGAAAGGGAGAGAAAGGGAGGAAGGAAGGAAGCGAGGGGAACAAGAAGGAAGAGGACGGGAAGGAGGACCAAGGAGAGAAGACGAGCAAAGCTGCATCGGCCGGCAAGAAGGGGCGGCTTTCGGGAGGCGGGGCTCGGGCTGCTGCCGCCCCTGCTACAGTGACTCTGCCGCCCCAGACCATGCGTCTGAGGATGCTGGACATGTACAGTGGCTGCGGTGCCATGTCGACGGGGATTGAGATGGGTGGCACTCCCAGAGGCGTCACCATTGACACTGTGAGTTTTGAGCCAGCTCAAAAGGCTTCTGCTGCAGATCATGCCTCCGACCAGGTGCAGTACCATGGGAACCAGTGAACTAGCCGTCAAACACTGATGTTAATTTGATCTATTTACGTTAGCCCATCTCATGCCGCTACTGCCGCTCTGCCATGTTTCTCAAACGAGCTCATCTCCTGACGACATTGCTGTTATTGCTGTAAATTCCGTGGCCGCCGTGACTGTGCTTGCTCTTTGTGATGCAGTGCTGGTCCGTGGACTTCAACGCAGCTGCATGCGAGAGCATGAAGTACAACCACCCGCTCTGCCAGGTGCGTACAGCCGTGCACGTTGGCACGTGAATTCAACCACCCACACTGCAAGGAGCGACTAGTTGGTGAAACAGTAAAGCTCGTGCAACCATCCGCACTGCCAGGTCCAACCACCTATATTCTCTGTAGTGCAAAGCGGATAAAGCTTTGCTGCTGAAATAGCCGCTATTCCTGCTGGGCTGGTCTCAAGGCACCCAAACGATGCACTCCCATAAGTTCCCCTCTCGGCTAACGCCTTTCTTCCTCCCCCCCCTCTCCCTTTCCCCCCCCTTCCCTCCCGCCTCCCACTCAGGTTCGCAATGAGACTGCAGATGAGTTCCTGGCGATTCTGAAAGAGCTGCCATTCCTGACGCTCTAGTTCTGATGGGCCGCCAGCATTACTTCCTTTGCTCGCCCCTCCCTTCTCTCTCCTCTCTTATCTCCTCTCACTCAGGTGCGCAATGAGACTGCAGACGAGTTCCTGGCGATTCTGAAAGAGCTGCCGACCCTGCTGGAGCGTTATGCTGTGTCCTCCGGTGAAAACGGTGTGTCTACAGCAGCAGCGGCAGCAGCAGTGTTCATGGATGCGGATGGTGAGAAGGGCGGCAAGGCTGTTGCTCACAAACACAAGGTCGTGCACCACTCACACCACCAGCACCAGGAGGAGAAGCAGCAGCACCAGGAGCAAGATCAGGAGCAGGGAGGTGAAGGGTCAAAGGCGAAGGTGGAAAACACCAAGGAGGTGGAAATGGGAGATGCGGAGGAGGCTGCAGGAGTGGAAGAGACAAAGGAGGAGATTGAGGAGGAGATAGAGGAGGTGGAGGCGAAAGGAAGGGGGAAGAGGAAGGGGAGGGTGTCGGCTGATGAGGATGGGAATAGGAGGACCTCAGGCCGGAACAAGCGGCAGAAGAGCAACGGTGCTGCTGCCAGCAAGGGCAGCTATGGGAAGGAGAGTGGGAAGACACAGGAGGAAGATGAAGAGAGCAGTGATGAGGAGATTGATGAGGGGGAGTTTGAGGTGGGGCGGATCGTCGGGGTGAGGTACATTGCTGCCACGGAGAAGGGACGGCCAGCTGGCATTTACTTCAAGGTGAGTTGAACTGTAGCAAGCACGTGAGTGGGGGCCCGCCCTTGTTCTCTTTTGCTACTATGCTTGAGGGCTGCAAATGTCCTCAAGTGTTTAAATGTCGAGGAAATTGAATTTTCCTCAACTTACGATTTCTGCATCTCGATTTCCTCGACCTTCGCCTGTGTTGGGTACACTCGGTCTCTCATCTGCAGGTTCAGTGGAAGGGGTACGGACCAGAGGAGGACACCTGGGAGGCAGAAGAGAGCCTCGGGTGAGTGCTCTATGCCACATGAAGTGGCTTTTCTAGTCGATTTATGAGCCTCAGGTGAATGCTGTTAGCCATACCAGAACTTGTTGTGCCGCCAAACCATACCAGGCCACGCTATGCCAAGGCAACCAACAGTGGGACGTTCACATGCAATAACCAGTTTAGTCCTTTTCTGCTTTCTTTCTTTCTTTCTTTCTTTCCTTTTCAAGGAAAACGTGGAGTGAGCACATTCTATCATGGCACAACATGCCATGCCATGCCATGCCATGCCGACCAGTTGCATGCAGCAGATTGTCATGTGTAACAAGAACATTGCAACTGCATAACCACAACAACACAATGCCATCTGCACATGCTCTCTCCAATGTCCTCTGTTGCTTGTTGCTGCAGCTCGTGCAAGCTGGCTATCCGGGACTATCTGGTGGAGGTGAAGGAGAAGAAGCTGCTACCTCTGCCGGTAAGAAGTGCATAGGTGGTGTTACCTTGCCTCAGCTCTGCAAGCAGGCTATCTGGGATTTCCTGGTGGAGGTGAAGGAGAAGAAGCTGCTGCCTCTGCCGGTAAGAAGTGCATAGGTGGTGTTACCTTGCCTCAGCTCTGCAAGCAGGCTATCCGGGATTTCCTGGTGGAGGTCAAGGAGACGAAGCTGCTACTTGTGCCACAGCCGGTACGGGGCGCATAGACGCTGGTAAGCTGCTCCCAGTTCTTGGTTCTTCATTGCTGCAGCTCGTGCAAGCAGGCTATCTGGGACTATCTGCTGCCCCTTTTGCTGGCAGAAGGTGCAGGGCTGCTGCTGGTGCTATCTTAGGTCCTGGTTGTTTGTTGCTGCAGCTCGTGCAAGCAGGTTGCTGCCACCTTGCAGTGCATTTGTTCTTAATGCTTTTCTCCACCCTCCCCAATCCCACACCAGGGCGATGTGGATATCATCTGTGGAGGGCCGCCGTGCCAGGGCGTGAGCGGCTTCAACCGCTTTCGCAACACGGAGGACCCTCTGGCATGCGAGAATCACTTTTGAGAATTCTCAAAAGTGACCCTCTGGCATGCGAGAAGAACCGGCAGCTGATTGTGTTCATGGACCTGGTGGGGCGGCTGGCGAGTCAACCTGAGTTGTCTCACATCTAAAAAAAAATATCCGATTCTCCTATCCCCATGCCAGGGCGATGTGGACATCATCTGTGGAGGCCCCCCATGCCAGGGCGTGAGCGGCTTCAACAGGTTTCGCAACACTGAGGACCCTCTGGCATGTGAGAAGAACCGGCAGCTGATTGTGTTCATGGACCTGGTGGGTTGGCTGGCGCCCACGTGGGTGCTCATGGAGAACGTGGTTGACCTCATGAAGTTCAAAGAGGGCATCCTCGCCAAATACGCCATCGCCCGCCTTGTGGCCATGGGGTACAAGGTGAGCTGATTTTTTAGGCGCCTCAAAACATGGATCTGGTGGGGTGGCTGGCGCCCAAGTGGGGTGCTCATGAAGAACGTGGTTGACCTCATGAAGTTCAAAGAGGGCATTTTGGCCAAATCTGCCATCGCCCGCCTCTTCGCCATGGGGTACAAGGTGAGCTGGGATGGGGGGAAGGGGGGCGGGAGGGGGGCGGGAGGGGAGCAGGGAGGTGAGTTTTGAGGCGCCTCAAAAGCCATCGCCCGCCTCTTTGCCATGGGGTACAAGGTGAGCTGGGATGGGGGGAAGGGGGCGGGAGGGGGAGGGTACGTGTCGAATGTTATCTTAGGAAGTTTGATGGAGTTTGTCACAAGCACCACCAACAGCTTCGCACCAACACAATTTTCGCTATAAGAAGATGCATTTGCTTTTCTTCACCTCACCTCTCCTTTACCCCCCCTTCTACAGTCTCGCACGGGGATCATTGCAGCCGGTTGCTTTGGAGTCGCCCAGTTTCGCCTCCGAGCTTTCTTCTTCGGCGCTTTGGATGGCCATGTATGTAACTATTCATATTCTTCTGCGATTTTTGTTGTTGATATGTTTTTTTTTGTTTTTGCCCATTATACCGAAGGGGGTAGAGGGGGGGGGGGGGGGGAGTGGGGTGGTGGTGGGGTGTTCGTGCTGTTGGTGCTGCCGGTGCAGTCAAGGAAAAATTTTCACCCTATTCCCCGTGCCTGCCCCACATTCCCCTCCTTTCCCTCCCCTCCTTCCCCGTCCCTTCCCCTTCCCCCCTCCTCTCTTGTCCACCTTTGCCATCGCAGGCGCTTCCAAGCTTTCCCTTACCCACACATCTCGTCGCGAAGGAGAGAGGCTCTGTGCCCACCCGCTGGATGGTGAGTGACTTTTGAGGCGCCTCTAAAGTCGTCTCTTATCCCGCAATCTTTTGTACTGAGAGGCTGCGTGACCACCCGCTGTGTTTTGAGTATACTTAAAACAGGCCTCAAAATTCGTCTCCTATCTCACAATCTTTTATATTGAGAGGTTGCTTGCCCACCCTCTGGATGGTGAGTGATATGGTTGTAATTGCGCGCGAGCGTTAGATGAAGGACATTTCCTCATGGAAATTCTTTCATTACGATCAGGCCAATTCTGCACTTACATTCTTTAACCGTGGACAGAGTCTCAATTCGTCGTTTGTTTTTGTCGATGTTCATAATGCTTCAGAGGAACTTTGTTGGGTGGGAGGAGAAGTCTCCTGTGTTGAAGACGCTGAAGCCGGCACTCGTGCTCAAGGACGTGATATCTGATCTCCCACCGGTGAGAGCTCGCAGTACTTGTTGGGATAATGTGATCGGCTTGTTGTTTATTGTTGACCAATTATACTGGCTTGTTTATTGATGTTTATTGTTATTATTGCATCCGGTTCAAGTCAAGCTGGTGCTGCTCGAACCGGTACTTTGCTCAGCCATAACCAAGTGTACACCCACCATTTGGTAAATCCTTAGCATGTCATGATATACCAAACTCACATTCAACTTGTGCAGGTGACAAAAATGCCATGTCTACGGACGTCATGGAACACCAAGCCTGCTTTTGAGTCGACTCAAAAGCAGACTCATCACACGCAGTTTTTTAGTCGACTGAAAAGTCTACCAAGCTCACATTCAACTTGTGCAGGTGACAAACGCCACGACTACGGACGTCATGGAATACACCAAGTCACCTGCCAACAACTTCCAGCGATTCATACGCCTCCCCAAATCCGGTACGCTGAGCTCGATTAGCATTGGCCCGTTTTGTCGGTTCCTTGTCAATACTTGAATTGATCTCCCCATTCTTTCCGTTCGACCTCGTTACCCCGTTTGATCCTACACCTCCTCGCACCCTCTCCTAGGCTTTGTAATTTACATTTTCTCCTCCTCCCGCTGTTGTGTGGCCTTCCAACCATGAGAACAAAAAGTGAAGAGTAAATTATTAGCCTCATTATGGAAGGAAGGAGCATACATAGTTTTCAAGAGAGTGTTGGAAAGGAAAAATGAGAACGCAACATTTCGTGAAGTGGGTCAACCTATGGCCCATTGGGTTGGGTTGGTGATATTCCCCAAATCTTGCTATCCTAAGGTTGCATTTAAGGGTTCCACTACAACTGAGTTGGATTGGCATCCCAACATGCAAGGCTACACCCTAAGTTGGGTGTAGTCCCAACCCAACTATACTCCTTACTTGGTGTATAGTCACAGAAGGCTTAGCATGCTAGAGTATATAATTCTAACACAACCCATTTGCATGCTAAGACAAGAATGGGACAACCCTTCAATCAAGGGACGTCTGGGCGAGCAAGGCCAACGAGGCGTAGCAGTGCGGATTGCGCAGGGCGAGGGAGAGCCTTGGTGATGATGTTGGCCAAGTTGGCATCGCTCGCAATCTTCCGAACAGCAAGAAGACTCCGCTGAACGAGCTCGCGGAAGAAGTAGCGCAATTCGATGTGCTTGGAGCAGCCGTGGCAGAGAGGGTCCTGAGTGAGATGGATGGTGCTGGCGTTGTCACACTAGAGGGTGGGGCAGGGCTGAGGAGCCCCAAGATCAGCGAGAAGAAAGCAGAGCCAGTCGACTCAATCATTTTTTCTGCTTTCCCTGTTATTGTGCAGCCTTTCGTCCCCCGCCCCCAAATGGGACCTCCCCCAACTCGCCCTGGTCATGGGACGCCAACCCCAAGCTGCTGGACCACCGTACGCACAACCTCAACGCCGATGACTTCTATCGCGTGGAGAGGATTCCCAAACGCGAGGTGAGCTTGGACGGGCATAGATTCCCAAAAAAATAGGTAGCGCCTCCCCCAGGTGCGACCTGCTCGGGCTCGCCCTGGTCGTGGGACGCCAATCCCAAGCTGCTGGACCACCGCACGCACAACCTCAACGCCGATGACTTCTATTGCGTCGAGAGGATTCCCAAGCGCGAGGTGAGCTTTGAGGCGCCTGCTAGAGGGTGTGTTTGAGGGCAAATCTGTGGTTGAGTTTGAGGGCGAGGGGGCGCTTTTGATGTAATAAAGGCTTGTACATACAACCCATTAGTTTCAGCTACAGAATTTGACCATTGACACTTTGCTTTCAAAGGTGTGTGCCAGCGCCCCTCCCTCCACCCTCTCCCTTCTTCCTCTCATCCGCAATTGTTTCACCCCAGGCCGCATATTCCGCGACCTGACGGGGGTGCTGACGGACCCTGCCACCAAGAAGTGCTCCTCCCTTCAGCTCCCCTCCCCTCAAACCCACTCCCCCTCTCCTTCCGGTGATTCCAGGGAGCATGTTTCCGCGACCTGCCAGGAGTGCTAACTGACCCTGTCACCAAGAAGTGCTCTCTGGACAAGACTCTCCAGCCCCGCCCGTTCATCCCGCACTCAGGCAGTCCTCTGGTGAGAGCAGTGTTTTGAAGCGACTCGAAAGTCACTCCCGCAGCCCTCTGGTGAGAGCAGTTGATGCGCTTCTGTGGTTTGGAGGCACCCCATTGCTCGCCTCACCTGGGTGCTGATAGTCCCTGTCAACAGGAATTGCTCCCTGGCAGGCCTTCGGTGAAAGAAATGCTTCTGAGTTTCAATCAAATTAAAAGGTCACTCTTTCTTGCACTCAATGCTCTCCTCCGCCTTCCTCTCCTCCGTTTCGCTCTCCTCCTTTCTGTTCACAATGCAGTGCCCTGACTATGCCATCTCATTCGTGAAAGGCACCTCCTTCAAGTATGCCCTCTGGCTCTCACACTCCCTCACACTCCCCTGTTTTGTTGCTCTCGCTACCATGTCAATATCCCACGTTGGTTTCGGGTTCAGGGAACTGAAACTTAGGTATGACATCAAAGTCAATATTTGTACCATATAATAAAAAGTGTGTACCATGTTTCGCCCTTTTCTGTTGTTTTTCTTTGTCGTTCTTTTCTGTTTTATCAGGCCCTTTGCTCGTCTGTGGTGGAATGACACGGTCCCAACTGTTGTCACACGACCCGAGCCTCACAACCAGGTAAGCCAAAGGCAGAAAGCCTTTGGATGACACTCCAGCAGTCCGGTACACAGAGAACGTGAACTGACACAAAGACATGTTAAGTGAGGGCATACGCGTTTGCGAAAGAATTGACATAGTGAGCCTGGGATGAAACTGGTCGAGTTTTGAGGCAATGCGAGCGCTTTCAAGCAACTGCGTGGGCCATTGACCGGATTCCCTCCTGTGTCTTGCAGAAAATTCTTCACCCGGAGCAAGATCGAGTGCTGACAGTGAGGGAGAATGCTCGGCTTCAGGGCTTCCCAGACCATTACAAGCTGTTCGGCGATGCCAAGGAACGGTAAGAGTTATCTATGTTCTTGGTAACCAAAACAATGCAATTGCAGGGTGCTTCATTACAAGTTCCATTGGTCTGGCCTAGGAGCTTTGGCAGGGAAATCAAGTATGACCATGGTCATTATGCGTCCCTCGTTTTGGCACGTGCAGGTACTGCCAAGTGGGCAACGCTGTATCAGTCCCGATTGCCATGGCTCTCGGATACTCCATCGCAGGAGCTGCACTAGGAGGCACCTCCACTGCCACCTATGGCCTCCCAAGCTCCTTTCCCTATTTTCACTGATTACTCTGAGTGTTGTCGCAGTATAGACTGAGTCGTCTGCACTTATCTAATATGAGAGGTACAATTCAAAATCCTAAATATGACACGTAGTTTGAATTTACAAGCTAGTTTGGGAGCCGCATCTATTTGTAACATCCAATCCTGAAGAAATCTCCTTGTAGCCACATTAGCGAAGTTCACAGATCACATGTCCCCTCTCTCACGGTTTGTCTGTTTCTGGGCAACAAAATTCAATGCGGTTGGGGCAGCCTGCTCGTGATTTCCATTTGAAACCAATTGAAACAATGGCCAAACCAGGGTGCCTCTGCCCCAGACGAAAATTGCCAGGTTTCAGGGATGAGGAATCCCAGCTATTTTTTGTTTAGGATCATCCCGCCTTCCATTTCTTCATCAACAAACCAATTCGAGAGTTTCGACTCGATTGAAGCACCCCAGCCACACATCGAGGTTCGCCCAAAGCGCGGCAATCCCAATGGTTCGAGGTGGCTGGGGGAGGATGGTGGTAGTGAGGCAACAAGGCGAGGTTGGTGAAACTGAAACTGATGAATCTTCTACTATTGCTCGCCTGCCTGAATATACACACCATCTCATCAGCCATGGTTGTTGCTGGGTTGAACCGTTACTGCAAGTAGAGTGTTTTGCGCTATGGTCCTCCTGGCAATGGTAGTGGAATGCTTTACCTAAGCACCTTTTGTGAGTCTGCGGTGCTTCTCCTGCGACGTCTTTCGGTGACACGACATTGGTGACTCTACTTCATACGCTGGGGTGAGCATATTAGGGTTTGGAAATTAGTACCAAGGCCCATTATCTCCACGACGTACTCGTTACTCAGTTGTAGAACCTTCTCTGTGCTAGAGCTGCCAATGCTGCATTTGCCGGTACTTCACCAGCAGCCGCTTTCCGACTCCTGGAACATCATACCTGATAGCATGCGAATCCAGCTCGAATGCCTGAGTCATAACATACCTCTTACATTCATTTGAATATTTCTGTAGGAGATTCTCTCATTACGGTTGCAACACAGTAAACAGTTCGCAGAATCATTCGGTAAATTCCCAGAAACAGCTGACAACACAATGGTACGGGTCGCGGAGCGTAACCCTGTCTAGCCCTCAGCCGAGCGCGCGGGGGGAAATGGACGGCGTGCGCGAGCGTGGAAGCAGCAGCCGTCGATCCCACCCGCGATCGTCGTCGCTCCGCGAAGGCGTGTACGACGGCAGGCGGCACGAGGACGTGCGGGAGGAATGGGGGGAGCGCGGGGAGGAGAAGGGGGAACGGGGGGAGCGCGGGGAGCGGGGGGTCGTGCGGGACAAAGAGCAGGAGCGGGCAAGGCGGCGCGCGCGGGAGATAGAGAGGGAGCGAGCCAAGGAGAGAGCTCTAGAACGACGGATCGACAGCCTATCCTGCGGCACAAGTTCCTTCGGCGCTACGGTGGACAGCCATGGATACGAAGACACCCGTGAGTCCGAACAATACCGTGGGTACAGTCTACCTGACGGTAACGATAACAATCACGGATCTGGAACCGTTGCCGGCCGACAAGAGCTGGACTACCGTCAGGGTTCGCAGTACCGTCAGAATGTGGATTACCGTCAGGATGCGAACGACGGTGCTGACGTGGAGCCGCCGTATCACATGTTCGCGAAGAGCGCGACGACCGTCGCACAGCCGGCCAGACACAGCGGCCTCGGATTCGGAGAATCGCCGGTACATTCTCTAGACGTGCCACGTCAGCGGAGCTTCAGGGAAAGGAGACCCGCGTACGACATGGGTCAAGGGAGCGTAGGGTTCGGAGAATCACCCGTTCACGGAACAGATTTTCCACGTCAGCAGAGCCTCAGGGAGCGCCGCGAACGGAGGTATTTACCTCACGCGTCGCGAGCTGCAGTTCCGCAGTCCGCTAGCATCTCGCCGTTTAGGGTTCGCGTCAACCCGCGAGCAGGTGTAGCAGATGTACTCGTAACTAGCAGCCCCGATTTAAGAGGTCAACTACGCGCCTCAGCAGGCTCTCGAAGCAGCGCTAGATCCGCGGCGCCAAGCTACATCAACGTCCGCGCCTCGGAGCCGCGTGCCGGCTGCCGAACCTCAGCCGTCCAGGAGCGTGCGTGAGATCCGACGGTCACGATCGGCTGTCCCGAAAACCACCGATACAGCGGAGCTGCTGGGAGGTGATTTCACGGAGGAAGAGCTTCGAGATTACCTGCTTCACCATCCACACGAAGATCAGTCCTCTTCGCCTGCTCCCTCGCAGCTGATCAGCAGCAGTAGCAGCGGTAGGGAGCCTTACCCGCAAGATTTCCCCCAAACCTATGCACAAGCCTATCCCGGATCCTACTCGCAAAATCACCTACAGAATTCCGAACGAACGCCGGACCACTGGGATGGGTCGGCGGAAGTATGGGATCGGGAGAGGTATCGGGAAGGGGAGAGGGAGAGGGAACGCGAGCGAGACCGAGAGAGCGGCGGAAACACGAGCTCGAGCCACGCGAGCGGCGCCAGTCATTCGAGCGTGGGGCGCAGCAGATCCAGCGTTCCGCGCAGCGGAAGCCGTAGCCGGTCGGGTTCCGCCAGGCGCGGGGTTCCGCGCGTGAGCAGCACGGGCGGGGGGAGAGTGCAGCGGTCCGCGTCTGTGGGGCTGTCGGATTCGGCGGAAGAGGAGGAGGAGGACGACGACGGGGAGGAGTTTTTGACGTCGGTTCCGCCCGCTGCTATGGATGTTCTGTTGGGGAATACGGGGAAGAAGGCCGCGGCTGGCGGGTGGAGAAAATCCGCGTCCACATCATCAGCTGGGCAGCAGTAGCAGCAGTGGGGCAGGGGAGGGCGAGGGGAGCGCAGACGGCAGGGCAGGGATGGGGGCAGGGGATAGGGCAAGCGGCGGGGGAGAGTGCAGGGCAGGGGTTAGGCCAGGGAGTGATGGGGGGAAGCAGCTGGGAGAGAAGGGTGGAGGCGCAGGGGGAAGCGATGTACGGCGGGCTGGGCGCGGAGGACGACGAGGATGGGGTGCTGGAGGCGTATGCTGTGGATGATTTGGAGGAGCTGGATGCGGTGGAAGGGGGTGATGGTGCATGGATGGTGGAGAGCGGTCAGGTGGGGGGTGGGTTTCAGGAGTTGCAGCAGCAGCAGCAGCTGCATGTGCAGCAGGGGTATCATATGGTGCAGCAGCAGCAGCAGCCGCAACAGCTTTACCAGCAGCAATACCCCAACGAGTACCACCAGCAACAGCAGTATTACCAGCAGCAGCAGCTACGCCAGCAACAGCCACAGCCGCATGTACAACCCTACCAAGATCAGCCCGTTCAGCAACAACAACTGCCGCTGCAGCAGCAACCACAACAGCAACACCAGCCGCCCCAGCAGCAGCAGCAGCAGCAGCAGCAGCAGCAGCAGCAGCAGCAGCAGGAGACAGGATACAACCGTCAGCTGAGAACCCCACCACCAGAGTTCCACTCCCCGCGGCACCTAGAGGAAATGAGGCGCCGCTCCTCCTCCCTCTCCCCAGCACGTGGCGCTGTCTCTGCATCAGCCTCGGATGAGCGCATTCCTCTCCACACTGCTGCTGCCGGTCGTTCCGACTGCTCCTCGCCTCTCAGAGGCGCCGCCCCTGGCGTCTCAGGTGGTGCCTCTCCTGCTTCTGGGTATGGCGGCGGGGCGTATGGGCAGCAGGAGCAGTACGGGCAGCAGGGGCAGTACGGGCAGCAGGGGCAGCAGGGGCAGTATGGGCAGCATGGGCACTCCAGCAGCAGCGGCAGTCTGGGGCATGTGTCGCCTGGTCACGGGCATATGTCTCCTACCATTGCGCGTCTCTCACCTGGTTCAGGTCATGCCTCTCCCAGCAGGGGCCGTGCCAGTCCGGGTCATGCATCCCCTGGGCGGGGCTATGCTGCTCTCGGCCCTCAAGACAGTGATCCGCGCGACGGTGCACTGACTGGCTTGCCTGCTGCTGCTATCGGTGCTGCTGATTCTTCTGGGCCTGCTGGTGCTACTGCTGGTGCTGCTGCCGGTGCTGCTAGTGCTCGCTCGCCTGCGGCTGCTGGTCGTGGGGCGTATGGGAGAAGCCAAGGGGTTGAGAACGGTGGAGGAGGGCGGATGTCCGCGCAGGCAGGCGCGGAGCAGCAGAGCGGGGGAGAGCATTCCGCAGGAAGGGTGGACGGGGCGGGTGGGGGGAGCGGAACCGGCAAGGGCAAGCCTGGGCGGAGGAGTGGCGAGGGAGGCGGAGGAGGGCAAGCAGGAGGGCGGAGAGGGACGTGTGGGGAGGTGGGCGGAGAGGGGAAGACGATTTAGTGGCTGCCGCTGCTCTGGTTAGCGGAGCAGCGGGTGCTGGTGACGACAGGGAGAATGAGGCGGGGACAGGAGGAGCAGGAGCAGCAGGAGGAGGAGAAGGAGCCGCAGTAGGGGATTCAAGCGTTCTACCTTCTGCCGGTGGTTCCGGGGCTGGTGCTGATGCCAGTGCTGGTGCAGGGGTTGCAGCAGCAGGGGCCGCGCCAGGTGCTAGTGCAGAGGCGCCTGGTAGGAAAGGTGCAGGCGGGAATGGAAGAGGAGGAGGAGGTGGAGGCGGAGGGGGTATTTCAGAGATAGCACTGGCCCGGAACCTGAGTCTGCAGGTGAAGAAGGCAGAGCAGCAGGTCTCCCTGGACAGGAATCTGTCTCTTCGCAACATCAAGAAGCAGGGCAAGGACCTGGTACCAAAGCTGACCACTCTGCTCAAGAAGTCAGGTATGTAAGTTCGTTTGAGTTGAGGCACTTCAAAGGAGGACCTGATGAATGCATGTTCTCAAACGGGAATTTGTCTCCGTGCAACATCAAGAAGCAGGCCAAGGAGCTGGTGCCTAAGCTGACCACTCTTTTGAAAAAGTCAGGTACGCCTTTTGGGGAATTTAGAGGAAATCAGGGGAACAGGTTTCACTAAGTAGGAAGGACCTGGTTCCGAATCTGACCTCCCTCTCTGCCCCCACCCGCCGCATCCAGCTCAGCAGGGCCGGGTATAAGTAGTGCAGGTGTGGCAGGCTTGGTGCAGCAGGGGTGGGTGCAGCAGGGGTGGGTGCAGCAGGGGTGGGTGCAGCAGGGCTTGGTGCAGCAGGGCTTGGTGCAGCAGGGCTTGGTGCAGCAGGGCTGGGTGCAGCAGGGCTTGGTGCAGCAGGGCTGGGTGCAGCTGGGCTGGGTGCAGCAGGGCTTGGTTCAGCTGGGCTGGGTGCAGCTGGGCTGGGTGCAGCAGAGGCAGGCAACTTTCTTCCCCTTCACACCTCCCCCTTCCTCTCCTCTCCCCTACTCCCTGCCCCCAACCTCCCTCATTGGTTCCACCCACCACAGCTAGCTCAGCAGGCGCGGGAATAAGCTATGCGGGCGCGGCAGGGCTGAGCGCAGCAGGCGCGGGGATCAGCGCAGCGGGGGCGGGCATCACTGCAGCGGGGGTGGGCATCAGTGCAACGGTGGGGAAGAGACCGCCCAAACCCGGGCGGTCTGCGACTGAGAAGGAGCGCTCCATGCCTTCGCTCTCCATGCCCTCCATGCCAAGGTGAGCTCCTCGGCTCCACGCCCTAGGGGGGGTAGGCGGGCATCACTGCAGCAGGGGCGGGCATCACTGCAACGGGGGGCGGCGGGCATCAGGGCAACAGCGGGGAAGAGACCGCCCAAATCCGGGCGGTCCGCAACAGAGAAAGAGCGGTCCATGCCTTCGCTCTCCATGCCCTCCATGCCAAGGTGGGGATGGGGAAGGGAAGGACACATACCAAAATGGTATCTCTGCCATGCAAGATGTGTCTGCTCTGCCTGCCATTGCTCCTTATGCCTGCCATTGCTCCTTATGCCTGCCATTGCTCCTTATGCCTGCCATTGCTCCTTGCTCCTTATGCCTGCTATGCCAAAAGAAGGGGCATAAAAAGTGCTATTTTATATTTTTATTCTCCTCCCTTTTTTGGCCTATCATATGCCCACAGGTCACTCACCCTCTCAAGGCACAAGGACGGGCCTGAACGGCCAGAGAAAACTTTTGGGGACCTACCCGCACCCAAGCGCACCCATTTCCAGTACTCTGAGCTCCAGGCAAGCACTCTTGCACTCCCACTCATACTCGCAGTCACTTTTATGTGCACACACACACACAGTCACACTCCTATGCAAGCATGCTTGGCTTCACTCTCATGTTCATGCCGTGCTTACTCGTGCTTACACTCACAACAATCACCCTTCGCCCTCTCTCTCTCCGCACCCTCCCTCCTCTCCCTTCTCCCTCCCCTCCCACCTCTCCCTCCCCTCTCTCGTCTCCCTCCCTTGACCCCTCTCCCTCCCCTCTTCGCTCTCTCCCCATCCTCCCCTCTTCCCCCCCCCTCCCCTCTCCCACATCTGCCTTCGCTCTCTGCTCTCTTTCTACCACCATCGCAGCTGGCGACGGGGAATTTCGACGAGGCCAATGTGCTGGGCCAGGGCGGCTTTGGGAAGGTGTACTACGGGGTGCTGCCCGTGCAGCCAGCGCAGGTAGGATTCGAGACACTTGGGGTTTAAGTGCGGTAGAGGGGCTACAAATTACATTGTCAATGTGCTCAGGCAGGGCGGCTTTGGGAAGGTATACTACAGGGTGCTGCCCGTGCAGTGCAGCCAGCACAGGTGAGGATCTGGGACGTGGGCTTTAAGTGCCGTTCACATATCTGGGATGCACTGCTCTAGTTGTTGAGTCCAGTTGGCTGAACCAGTCCAGTTGGCTGAACCAAAAAAGGTGTGACCTTGCTGTTGTATTTTAAACATGCGACCCCAGGCTGCTGGCCTCATTAGTCACTTCTGTGTGTAATCACACCACGCACACTCTTTCGCCCCCCACCACGCATGTTCTCTTCTCTTCTCCTCCCTCCAGGTGGTGGCGGTGAAGGTGCTGACAAGGGGCGGGTCGCAGGGCGATGAGGAGTTCACGATTGAGCTGGAGCTGCTCAGCCGACTGGAGCACAAACACCTGGTGAGAATGGGCCTAGGACTCTGCTAGCGCCTAGCTAGCACCTGGTGAGATGGCGGCTGCTATCACCTGGTGATGACTTTTGAGTAGACTCAAAGGTCAACGTGGGTCGCAGGGCGATGAGGAGTTCACGATTGAGCTGGAGCTGCTCAGCCGACTGGAGCACAAACACCTGGTGAGACAGGGAGGGCTGAGATAAGCTCGTAGACAGTTAGCTGGTGAGCGCACAAGCATCTGTTGAGACTGTGATTGAGAAGTGCTTGTGAGAAGGTGGGTTCCAGCAGCAGCTGAAAATGCTCAAGGAAGACAGGACAGGCACTAGCCCGGTGGTTCTCCTATACCCTCTCTCGATCCCTCCGCTCAAACCGTCTCTATTGATTTCTCACACCGCTCCTCTCCTCTCCTCCCCTCTCTTCCCCCCGGCAGGTGAAGCTGTTTGGGTTCTGCATGCGCTCGCAGCAGCGCCTGCTCGTCTACCAGTTCCTGCCCAACGTCCCCCTTCTCTCTCTTCCATCCCCGTTTGGCATCCCTCACTCACACCACCCCTCTCCTCACTCCCCCTCACCCCCCCAGGTGAAGCTGTTTGGGGTTCTGCATGCGCTCGCAGCAGCGCCTGCTCGTCTACCAGTTCCTGCCCAACGGCTCCCTCACGGACCACATGCACGGTGGGTTGGTGTGCTGCTGCTGCTGCTGCTGCTGCTGCTGCTGCTGCTGCTGCTGCTGCTGCTGCTGCTGCTGCTGCTGCTGCTGCTGCTGCTGCTGCTGCTGCTGCTGCTGCTGCTGCTGCTGCTGCTGCTGCTGCTGCTGCTGCTGCTGCTGCTGCTGCTGCTGCTGCTGCTGCTGCTGCTGCTGCTGCTGCTGTGCTGCTGCTGCTGCTGCTGCTGCTGCTGCTGCTGCTGCTGCTGCTGCTGCTGCTGCTGCTGCTGCTGCTGCTGCTGCTGCTGCTGCTGCTGCTGCTGCTGCTGCTCTGCTGCTGCTGCTGCTGCTGCTGCTGCTGCTGCTGCTGCTGCTGCTGCTGCTGCTGCTGCTGCTGCTGCTGCTGCTGCTGCTGCTGCTGCTGCTGCTGCTGCTGCTGCTGCTGCTGCTGCTGCTGCTGCTGCTGCTGCTGCTGCTGCTGCTGCTGCTGCTGGTGGTGGTGGTGGTGTGTGGTGGTGGTGGTGAGTGTGTTAGTGATGAGTGTGTGGTGTAACTGGCACTCCGCCATCACCAGGCACTCACCAGGCACTCACCAGGCACTCACCAGGCACTCACCAGGCACTCACCAGGCACCACAGCGCCACAGCGCGACAGCTAGTTGCTACTGTAGCCCGATGCCGCCGTTGCATGTGACAGTGCATATCGTCGGTTCCTGCCCACAGCTCACTCACTGACCATATGCAACATCTCAACATCACTTCACAGCCTTCTCACCCTTTCCCCCCATCTCCCCTATACCTCTCCCCACCCTTTCCTCCATCTCCCTCCCCTCCCCATACCAGGCAAGAAGAGGGAGGAGAACGGCCCACTGTCCTGGGAGAGGAGGCTGCGGATAGCCGTGGGGTCGGCGAGGGGCCTGCAGTACCTCCACTCGCAGAGGCCCCAGATTCTCCACCGCGACATCAAGTCGTCAAATATCCTTCTCACCGACAACTTTGCTGCCAAGGTGCATCGAGGGACAAGATTAGGTGTGTGCTGATGTGTCAGTTCTCTATCCTCCTTTACAAGCCTCCTCCACCGTGACATGACATCATGTTGTCCAACATCCTGCTCACTGATAACTTCGCTGCCAAGGTGCGCTAGATTGATGAGGTATATGCTGATGTGTCAGTATTCCATCCATCCATCGGGTCCGACCGTCTGTCATCCATCCATCCCCCCATCCATCCATCCATCCATCCATCCATCCATCCATCCATCCATCCATCCATCCATCCATCCATCCATCCATCCATCCATCATCCATCCATCCATCCATCCATCCATCCATCCATCCATCCATCCATCCATCCATCCATCCATCCATCCATCCATTCATCCATCTCACCCTCCTGTTGCTAGCCTCCTCCACCATGACATGGCATCAAGTCCTCCAACATCCTGCTCACTGATAACTTTGCTGCAAAGGTGGGTGGATCAAAGAGGTGTATGTTGATGCGTGAGCAAAATCCCATCCCTCTCTTCGGTTACACCGTTACACGCTTCCTCCGCCAACCTCCTCCTTCCCCAGCGCTTGTCACAGGTGGCGGACTCTTGAGGCGCCTCAAAAGCCTTCCCCAGCGCTTGTCACAGGAGGCGGACTCTGGGTGTGCGAAGCTGATAAAGCAGACGATCAAGGTGGAGGACCCGCAGACGGGGCAACAATGAGGGTTCATCCCTTCCTCCGGCTCCCTTTCCCCTGCGCACACACACACACAGGTGGCGGACTTTGGGCGTGCGAAGCTGATAAAGCGGACCATCAAGGTGCATACAGGACCCGCAGACAGGCCAGAAGAAAATAACGATTCTCTCTCGTTTCACCCCAAATCATCCTGCTTCCACATGATTGCCCCTGCTTCCCCCTATCACTCAGGTGGCGGATTTCGGGTGTGCGAAGCTGATCAAGCAGACGATCAAGGTGGAGGACCCAGTGACCGGGGAGCTGGTGGAGCGACGACACGCCCTCAACTCCCATCCCTCTCTCTATTTCATCACTCTCTTCCCGTCCTCTCTCCCTCCAGGTGGCGGACTTGGGTGTGCGAAGCTGATCAAGCAGAC